GTGTTGCGACGCGCACGCGGTGACGCGTGACCCGATGGTCACCGGCGGCGCACGCACGGCGGCGTTAGGCGGCGGCGGAAGCGGCGACATGGCGCGGAGACAAAGGAGAAGGCCGACGGCCTTGGGGCAGCCAGGGGGAGGTCAAGGGGATCCCCGGGAGCGTGGCGGCGAGAGGAATCGACGCGAGAGGAGCCGACGACGGTGGATTGCGGCGCGGCAATCACCAGAGAGCAAAAGGGGAAAACACGACGAGACGACGAGGGTTCGATTCAAAGGGGTGGGAGCATCTCCGGGGTTCAAGGAATCCGTTTCCGGCGTCGGATTGGACGAAGCGGCACCGAGATTGGCTGGCGACGAGAGGCGGCCTCCGGGACAGAGCAAGAGCGCGTGGCGAGCTATGGCGAGCGGCGGCGGGCGCGGCGCATCGCGCGGCAGGAGGAGGATTATGGTGGGGAGCTCACCAACGAAGAGGAAGTAGCGTTGGCGGCGCGGTCGGTGTCACGGCGAGGTGGTCGCGACGCCGAGGCGGCACGACACCGAGAGGGCGCGGCCGGGGAAGAAGGGAGGGAGAGGTGGTGCCCGGAGCTCCTCGTCACGCGTCCACGCACGCACCGGCTCCTCCGGTGCTCGGCAACGGACGGCAACGGCGAGAGCGGGACGAGCAGCAACAAGGCGGCGACGGTGGTTCGGCGGCAATGGCGCGGTGGGTGTGAGGACTGAGGCGAGTGAAAACGAGAGAGGAAGGGGTTTGGGGTGGCTTGGTTTTATAGCGGAGGCGAGGTCGGTTTGGGGAGGGGAGAACTGACCTTGGCGGTCAAGTGCTCGGCTGGCGGTAGCGGCGGTTTCGTGGGCGGTGCGAAAGCGGCGACGGCGTGGATGCGTTGAGTGGCGAAGGCGGTGGATCGAGCGGCGGAAATCGAACTGCTGGAGCGCGGGCTGGCGCGGTCAAGGAGATGAGGCGGGTGGCGCGAGCGGTCAAGCGGCGCAGAGGTGGTGACGCCGGCAGTGGTCGGGAAAGGGAAAAAGAAGGGGAAAAAGGGGCTTGGTCCCTTGCCATAATGAGGAGCGGGAGAGTGAGGAGGAGGAGGAGAGGGAGAGCAGCTGCTTCTCCCACTCTTGGACGGGTGCGGCGTGGAGTGGCGGGGGCCATGGATGACGTCGACGATGACGGCGGCGGTCGGTTTGGCATGGAGCGGGGGCAAGGCGGCAGCGCATGGCGTCGGCGGCGACCGGCCAGTCGGCCACCTCGCGAGGTGCGCGCGGGAATGGACGAAGGCGGTGGAGGTTTTGGGCGGCGACGGCGGGAAATCGGCACCGAGGAGAGGGAGATCGAACGAGAGAGAGAGAAACATAGAGAGAGAGGAGGAAGACGAGAGAGCGAGAGAAACAGAGAGAGCGAGCGACGGCTCTCTCTCGGCTCGCATGCGTGCAACGCACGTGCGAGGGGGAAAGATGATGGGCTGGGAGGGGAGATGGGCCGATGGAGGAAAATCGGTCCATCCAAAAATACAGGGAGGTAAAGTAGACTTTTACAGAGAAAACTGATTTGGATAGAATTGGAGTGATTTAGGGTTTGGATTCGAATTCAAATTTGATATTCGAACTCGAGGGTTTAGGGATGTATCAAGGGAAACTCAAGGAGAAGTCATGGAAAAGATTCAAAAGGAATACTTGGGTATTTGTTCTCGGGAACATAGGGTGGAGTCAAGGAAAGGATTCGAGGCAGGATTTGAATAATTCTGGATTCGTAGAAGTATTTGGCGAGGATTCAAAGGAAGGATTTGAATTTCAGAATTTGATTTCAGAGACTCGAATCGGAAAAGGAATTTGGATGAGGGGGAGGATTTTGATTTCGATGAGAGGGAACAACGAGATTAAATTGGGATCCTTGGCACAACTTAGACTCTCACACAAAGAACGAAAATTTTCGCAATTAGGATTTTGCCGAGTTAGTTTTTAACGACTCACGAAAAGCGGAGCGTTACAATATTTGGACGCTAATTAGGAATATTAAACATAGATTAATAATAATAAAGCTAATTGCATAAATGAGAGCTAATTCGCGAGACGATTTTTTTAAAGCAAAAGTAATCCATAAGTAGCACATATTTACTGTAGCATCACATAGGTTAATCATGGATTAATTAGGCTCAATAAATTCGTCTCGCAAATTAGTATAGGGTTATGGAATGGATTTTATCATTAGCCTATGTTTAATACTTATAATTAGTGTTCCAACTTTCGACGTGATAGGGACTAAAATTAGTCCCCTGAATCCAAACACCACATAAACAAATAAAGTAAAAAACAATTTATGTGTAAACAACTCTTGTACTTATATTTTTAACGATTAAAAGCCAATATAAAAATTAAACTTCGATAAAAAAATTCAAAATCAACTCAAATATTAGATTTCAAATTGTTGCGGCTAATAATAAGATAACAAAAAAAAAAGAAAAACAGAGCAATATTATTGTGGTGGCCGGTGGTCGGCACGTCGTCACTCGCTCGCCAGATCTCAGGTGTGGGTAGGAGATGGAGCGAGCCGCCCCCATGCCCCGAATTCGAAATGGAGAGATGCACGGAATCTCTCCCCTCTTGTCAGCATCGTCACCGTTTGCGCTTGATATCTGAGCCATCCGTTCCTCATCGGACGGCCGTGACCTCCTCCTCTTCGCGAAAGCAGAGACGGATCTCTCCTTTTTTCCCTTTTGCTGCCGCCGACGCCCACGCATCGAGCCATGCACCCCACGTCGTAGGCGTGCTCTGCTTTTCCCCCCCATCTCTCGAACCCATCGACGACGCGGCGGCCATGGCTCTCGTGCCCGGCGATCTTTTCAGACATGCAGCTCAAATTGTACAGTTACAAGCATACACTCCTCCTGTACAAATTGTATTGTACAGTTACAATGCATCCACTATCCAAGGTCGGTTCAAAGTCGTTGTGCCAGCTGCTACGGCTCACAGAGTCACAGTATAATCCATCCATTTTTGCAGAGAAATAGTAGTAGTAGAAGAAAAGTATTAGGACGGTGGCAGGTCAATCCGCTTACCGCATCCAATGCGTTAATGCTGCCGTCAAGAAATGAGGGAATAATATTCACTATTATCATCTTTTCTGAAAAAATGAAAACGAGAGAGATAACTGTGATAAAAAGAAAACAGAGCTGAAATGCTGAGAAATTTCCATGCAGTCCTAACGAGACAAACAGAAAAGGAGCATTAGCTATATACGCGGAGTGTTTCTTCGCTCATTTTCTCCTAATCCTCTTTCTTGCCCCGTAAGAACAACATGCTCTGCTGCTTCCTTTTTTATCGGAGCTGCTGATCTCATTCTGTCAGAGTTTAGGAACCAGGAGAGTAAACTAATCTTACGGTCCAAGAACAGGACGGCACGGTCCGGGAATAATCTAATCCAAGCCTGAGAGGAACATTCTTTATCGGCGAACGTGCGAGGCTGTGTCGCGGATAAACAAATCGATCAGGAAACAGAAAAGAAGCTCAACTGAATTTAAACACGACAGCTAGGCTGAACACCGGGTTAGCAAACAGCTCAGATTGATGCTTCCTTCCAGCTTGCGTATTTTCCTAAGCAGGGTTTAAATTACAAAACTATCATAATTTATGCGCCTTGATCTGCAGCGCAGGACAGGATGGTTCCCATCTCCTGTAAATTCCAGCAGAGATTTTGTCTGCATCCTGTACGGTTGTTCGGAGCGTGCGGTTCAGTTTCAGTTCAGAACTGCCTATCACAGTATCATCTCATCTCGATCGACTGCAATTGCATAATTGCATTTCACTCGTGCGTGGAAGGATCATGGAGATTAAATTAAAACGAGAATGGTGAGCCAGAACATTGTGGGAGGAACTGCGGCTGGAATCAGATTCCTTTTGCTGCAGATCTACCTGCTTCAGGTAGCAACCAGATGCAGCTCATGGCTTCACCTCCTTTGCATCCGCTGCTTTGCCTCCCAAAACAACTCTGGTTTTAGCATCCCCAGTCTGACCACTCCCAGTTAGCCTAAAAGGAAAAAAAGAAAAGCAGAAACACCCAACTAGAAGCAACATATAAAGAATGAAATACTTTGCACGAAATTTTTCACATGATCCAAGCACTTGGAATTGCTTAATCTGTTATAATCAGTTTAGTATCAGCATGGAGCACGCTGGATTAATTCCGCTATAAGCAACCCTCCCAAGAACTCACTTGTTTTACAAGTATGTCAGCGTCACGTTTAAGCAGAGAGTAAGAAACAGTGACGCACGCAGAGAATTCCATTCCAACCCCAAAAATAGAACAGAAAAATTGCTACCTTCCGTGGCAAGGAAGAAATGACCAAACCCACAGTGCCAGTACATGCGGTGAAAAGCAGCCGAGACTGTACGAGATCGGTCTAATAAAAGAATGATTTTTCACCGTTCTACAGGTCTGAAAGAATGAATTTTCAAAATTCAAAAAGAAAAAAAAGAGAGAATGATTTTTCATCGTTTCTACATGGAACCAGCGAGGATTTTTTTTAATCTTTTGAACTTTTATTTTTTTCAATTTTAAAAATAGACCTTTTCAAAACTTCTTTCTATAATCCGAACCAATCGACGTGATATGGCAAAACAATACTGACACGCTACACGCAGTGGACATGATAGTTTTATTCTGTCATGCCAGCAAGGATGGCGTGGCCACGCCCGTCAAATCGGCGTGACCAAATAACGCGGAGTGACAATGTTGTTTTTTTACACCAGTTCGGCTAGCGTAGCCCAAAAGGTTAATATCTTGAAAATACGTTTTGAAAAATGTTTATTTTTAAAACTAAAAATTAAAAAGTTCAAAGAAAAAAAAATTCAACCATCAATGCAGCAGCGGAAACAGTAATAGTACTCTCTGCCAACTTACCAAGTTGCTGCGGGGGACTCACCCACTCCGCTTTTTTTGAGTCGTTTCGTGGCCGGTTTTGACGCCGTTTTCCGCAGCCCTCGGCGTCGCCGTCCGTGCGTGGTTTCGTGCCGCGCGACACGGTCAAGGCACAAGCCACAGCCACAGCGCCTACATATCTCGCCATTGCCGGTGCAGACGCTTCCTCAACTCTGTCCTCTCTTCTTCTTCTTCTTTACAAGCTCTGGTACTCGCTGTCTCCGTCTCTGCATTTCGGTCTCTGGCTCTCTGCTGCTTCGTGTTCGTGGGCGATTGGTTTTTCTTGGCTTCTTGTTCATCTTGGATTTGATCGATTCGATGGCTGAGTTGCGGACGTCGTGGAAGTCGATGCTCTGCTGCGTCGGCGGCGGCGGGGTGGCCGGCGTTGAGGACGACGTGCCGCCGGAGAGGAGGAGGGTCAGAGGGGGTGGTCACCACCAGCGGCTGCTGTCGTCGTCGTCGTCGGCGTCGTCGGCGTCGAGGGTGTCGCTGTCGAGCCTGAGCTCGACGGGGACCCTCACGCCGGAGGACCTGTCGCTGACGCTGTCGGGCTCGAACCTGTACGCCTTCACCTACGCCGAGATGAGGGCCGTCACCGGCGGCTTCTCCCGCGCCAACTACCTCGGCTCCGGCGGGTTCGGCCCCGTGTACAAGGGCCGCGCCGACGACGGCCTCCGCCCCGGCCTCGCCGCGCAGGCCGTCGCCGTCAAGTACCTCGACCTCGACTGCGGCACGCAGGGCCACAGGGAGTGGCTGGTACGTCACTCTCCACCTCATGCGTTCCTTCCGCCATTGTTGGGCTAGCTCGAGCTTTAGCTCACCGTGCTAATTAATCTACGAACCTTTCTTTCTTGCAGGCTGAGGTGTTCTTCCTTGGTCAGTTGAGGCACAAGAATCTCGTCAAGCTGATCGGCTACTGCTACGAGGACGAACACCGGATGCTGGTGTACGAGTACATGAGCAACGGGAGCTTGGAGAAGCATCTCTTCAAAAGTAAGCACACGAGAATAATTACCAACTGTTGAATCTTTTCTTCTTTTTTTTTACCCCCGTCGCAATCGTCAATAGAATCCGGGAGATTACTGGTGTTTATACGCGAGTGGTTAACCGAATCATTTGCGCTTAGAGCGCGCTTACGCCATCGCTGAAGTTTCAGCTCTGAAAAAATTCCGGGGAAGACTTTAGCTGACGCTGAACCGTCCTCCTGTCCGTGCAGGTCTCGATGGCGCCATGCCATGGATGAGGAGGATGCAGACCGCCGTCGGCGCGGCGAAGGGGCTCGCCTTCCTCCACGACGCCGACACGCCGGTCATCTACCGTGACTTCAAGGCATCCAACATCCTCCTCGACTCGGTGAGCACCATCCCGTTCTTGATTCCACTGTGTACTTTTCGCAGTCATTTCACTCGAGTGCAGTAGAAATTTCAGTCGTTAAAGGAAAAAAAAAACTACCATGTCCTGAGAGCGAAAATTCAAACTGCCGTGAAAAATTTTACTAACTTTCAGACCATTTTTCGCTTCTTATTTCTGAAAATTTTGATGGGATACCACTTGTCAAGTTATCAAGTCTAGATTTGACTGTCAAAGTCTGCGTGCCACACGTTCCAAAATCGTTGGCTGGGTGTGTGGGTTCGTTAGACATGATTGCAACTTGGAAGGTTCTTGGATGGCCCAACCTTCAGGGTTCAGAGATCCCAGCTCATGCTGTCTTCTCTAGGAATAGATGGCTACACAGCACCTAATAAAAATCCATCCCTAGCATCATATCCGTACAGAATCATTATGCCAGTTAATGGCACTGGCCGACTGGCGTGATTACTAGCATGATACTGACAGAAACATTGTCGTCTGTCTCCTGCATGTCATTGTAATTGTCAACTGTGATCCCTGCCTAACCCGATCTCTGATTCATTTGATTTCAGGACTTCAACACCAAGCTTTCCGACTTTGGGCTTGCCAAGGATGGGCCGCAGGGCGACGCGACCCATGTCACGACGCGTGTCATGGGGACAAACGGGTATGCAGCGCCCGAGTACATCATGACAGGGCACCTGACCGACAAGAGCGATGTGTATAGTTTTGGTGTGGTACTACTGGAGCTATTATCGGGTCGGCACTCGGTGGACCGCTCTCGTCGCCATAGGGAGCAAAGTCTGGTGGATTGGACAAGAAAGTACCTCAAGAAGCCCGACCAGTTGCACCGGGTCGTCATGGACCCAGCCATGGAGGGCCAATACTCCTACAAAGGGGCCCAAGAGGCTGCTTTGGTAGCCTACAAGTGCTTGAGCCCATCACCAAAGTCCAGGCCCAGCATGAGGGAGGTGGTCAAGGCCCTAGAGCCCATATTGGACATGAATGACTACCTCCAAATTGGTACATTTGTGTTCACCGTCGTTGTGGAAGATAACAAGAAGGACGATGTGACCAAAACCAAGCAAGTAGATGGTGAGAACAAGGTTGACATGAGGATCGAGGCGACAGTGGAAGAGAAGCACCAGAGTCACCATGATCGATACCGGCAGAAGAACCCAAACTCTGCAATCCATGCTGACATCGTGCTGCAACGCGACGGCTCCATCGGATCGTACACCACCTCGCTCAGGCGGCACAGAAGGACACCGAGCTATCTCAAGGAGAGGGGTGCCTAGAATTTCATGGTCAGACCTAAGAGGGGAAGATATAGGAGTAATATTAATTAGGGGAAACAAAAGGATCTGTACATAACTAAGCTAGATCTTAGAGGTGTTGTGATACAAGACACACAACACCACATTGGTTTTTTGTGTGGGATTTATTCATTTTATTGATAGTGTTCTGTTATTGGCCGTAATGTGCCAATAATGTGATGAGAATCCTGATTGTGGATTTTTCATCGTGGTTAATCAAGAGCGAAGATAGAATTGGCCAATGGTTGCCTGCTATTTTGCCTTGAAAACCTTGTTTGGTCTTACTGGCATGGTAATAAAAAGGAATAAAAAGGTGTGCCTTGCCTTGGACAGCATAATCTCTTAACTTAATTAGATCTTTGTACCTGCGGCCGCCACAGCCACTGCTTTGGGCTTCAACCGAGGGTGATTTGCATGGGCCTAATTCTTAATGGGCCTAACTCACAGGTTCGATCAAAACATGGGTTCTCCAGCACCGTCCGATAATGCTTCTGCAATCCTGATCGACTAGGAAAAGTATGTTATGCCAGCCAGGCAATGATTTTACGTTAGAGACCCCTTCATGAGGATGATTCATCGTTTCAACCCTCCCATAATTGGGAGTCTTGGATAACATCTTCGTACCCGTCCGATCACTATTCGGCGGCCCAGAATCGATGGTTGACTTGATAAGATCATTTTCCGTCAAGGACCCTCTACTGACGTGTTCTTCTTCTTCTTCTTTTTCTTTTTCTTTTTCTTTTTCTGATGACCTAAAGCCGTTGTATGTCGATCGGTCAACGCCATTGATCGAGAAGCTGATCACGATTCTAATAGAAGAAATTCTCACAAAGAGCAGACAAAATATCTCAAGAACCATCGGCTCTATCTTTTGGCTTATGCTTATAAACCAAAATTTAAATTTTCAACCTTAAATTTAGAGTTGATTTTGGGATTTTTTTTCATCGTAGTTTATTTTACAGCCTTTGTTTTGAATCGCTAAGAACACGTATATAAAAGTTTTATTTACAAATTATTTTCCGTTTGCAAATATACCGTTTCGTTTATTCCGTCAATTAGCCACGATGGAGTCTACATTAGCACGCCGCAGCTCTGACAAAATTGAATCTACCTTCGTACATTATTATGTACTCAAATCGATTCAAATCCATTTACAGCTATCGGCATTGCATCCAAGCAGTAAAAAAAATGTGTTATAATTATCCCCTCGAAAGATTAGAATCCAACCCCCGTATCAACTTGAAGTAAATTATTTTGATACAAAAGTGGACAATATTGAGGCCAAACTGGAGAGTCCCACAGGTGAAGACCTTGGTGAGCCAGACCAGCCACGCCGCCATCGCCGCCGGCGCCGAGGAGGAGGCCACGTGAAAAGCCAGGAGCGCCACGCCGAGGACGGCGGTGGCGAAGCTGGCCATCTGGTACCACATCTGCTCCACGTCGCCGCCGGCCTCGCCGCGGAAGCAGCGCCGGCGGAGGCCGCCGCCGCCGCCGCCGCCGTCGTCGCAGGCCAGGCACCACCACAGGTAGGACGGCGCGACGAGGCCGTTGATGGCGACGAACAGCGCCGACTTCGCCACGGGGAGGGCCGCCTGCACGGCCGGCTGCGGCCGCGGCTCGCGCGGCGGCTCCAACTGGAGGAAGTCGATGACGGCCGCCATGGCTGGCTGCTGGTGATCGATCGAGGTAGGACAGTTCGGGTTCTTGGTGTGTTCTTGCTTGTGATTTGTGAATTGGCGGCACACACAGCGCGGGGTGAGCTCGTATATGTTGGTTGGGTTGGGTTGGTTCCAGTTTCGTCAGGTCAAGTCGTCGTCTACGGTGAGGTCACCGGCGAGACCGAGCTAGCCGAGGTGACGATCGACTCTGGCAGCCGCGCGTGGAGATCGACGGGGACGACGTGGTTTATCCGCGTGGGACGCTGCTCCATTTGGTTCGTTACGGTCCTACGGGGACGCGGTTAGTGACTAACCGGGTCATTACTCAGGTCAATGGTTTTCTCTGAGTATGTGAGTGTTTATGCTACTAGATGTCCCTTTTGAATCTGCTGAAGATGTAACTGCGTGCAGATAAAATAAGAAAATAACGTATGATTAATTGAGTTATAATTATTTAAACCTGAAAAATAGATTTTATTTAAGTAACTTGTAGTTTTCGCATGACATGTATAATTAGATGACGTTTCGGACAAACAATTTGCAAAGAAAATAAACTACATTGGAGTAACTTTTATACTACTATGAAACAAGGAAAAAAAAGTGACTCCAAATGTAGCTCCAATCATAAATTTGCTTCAGTTGTAAAGAACAACCCAGGAAGTGAACATACCAAACATGGTTAAAATAAATATACCAACGTTGTAAAGAACATTAATCCATTCGTATACAAATATAATCAATTTCCTCATAGTTTGAACATAAATTAATGTTCAAAATGAAACAATTTGAGCCTAATCACATCACAACAGCACGACAAAGAGTTATGCAAAGACGAGGACAGGGTTATCATGCAAAGACGGGTGGATAATATAAGACGTGATGGACCACGTTTTGAGGCAAAGGTAAAAGGCATTGATCCAATGCTGGAAGGTCCCAACCGTGGCGACCTTGGCGAGCCCGACGAGCCACCTAGCAACGGTGGCCAGGGCCTGCGACTGCGTCGACCGGCCGGGCACTGCCGTCGAGAATGCCATGTCTCCGACGAGGAGGGCCAGCCCGAGCACGGCGGTGACGAGGTTGGCCAGGTCGAAGCACCTCTGCTCCGCCACGCCGTCCTGGAAGAAGCACCGGCCGCCGTCGTCGCAGGGGCAGCTGCTGAGGTAGGACGGCGAGACGATCAGCCCGTTGCCGGCGACGAGCAGCGCCAGCTGCGCCACCCGTAGGTCGCCCACCGGCTGCGCTCCCGGCGGCCCCGGCCAGATGAACGCCATGGTGGATCGGCGGACAGGGGAGAAACAACTAGAGGTTTTCGGGCTAGCTCCACAATGAAGTGGGCTAGACGATATGGGTTTCAAGTCTCACCTCTTCTCCTTCCCTAATATCTGCTCTGCTCGAATTGTTGGCTGTTGATGAGTTGCTTTGTGAAGTGGCAGAGGAGCTGTGGAGGCGCTCATTTATAAGCATCGCCATGAACGGTTTGGTTCCGCTTGGGATGGGGATCGGGGAGTTTTCCTGGCTGAGTAGACGCGTGGAACGGGTGTCGATCCGTTGGATTCGGTGGTTCGTGTCGGGTCGTCATGACGCGGCTAAGTTTCCGTCTCTGTGGCATCGCACCGGCGAGGCCCAAGTAAAGACCGTTCACTCTCGAGCAATGAAAATCTTAACTACTTAACAAATTTACAACTTATTGATGTGAAAAAAAACGAATGAATGAAAGAAATGCTTAACTCTAGTGCATATCCTAAACTTTGATTACATGCAGATGTGCTAGTCAATTTGATTATGTAACAACAATATATATATAGTTATGATCAAATAACCGATTGGTTGACAAGCCGATGTAATGGTACTTAGCCGATGTCGATAAGGCTTTAAATAATCGGCTATATGTTCAATGTATATTCCGATGCTTAGATAAGCAATGAAAGAACTTGAACAAATAATCCAAGAGTCGATGATGATATAATGAAGTAATGATCCAATCGGCTAAAATCAACTTGTATATAATCCTTATAAGCCAGTGCAATATTGAGACAACTCATCGGCTGAAAACCCTGATGCTACCTTTATCGTCAACCAAAGAGCAAGTTAGTTCTTACAATTCCAAGTACGACTAATGCAGTACTAAGTATAAAAGAAAGTATAAGATCTAAACAACCAAGCCTTTCATTGTTTTTCAGAGTGGTCATGTCTTAAATTTAACTAAGACAATAAAACCATCAACAATAAATTTAACATATTATATAAGCGGCTAACCCTCCAATGAAACATTAGCATGAACATATCAGCTTGACAAGACTTTGATTATTAACAACAATTTAGTAGGTAGAACCTAATCGATGCAACACGAGATTGCATATAATAATCTAATACTCAATGAGCCGATAAATTTGTCTAATATGATGGATCTAACAAATCTATTTAAAACAACATTGTGATTGTAGAGATATATAGGCTAAGACATAAAATCAGACCTAATCGAGACAGTCCCAACTAAACCGATGTGTCTCTAAACACAATGCTATTAAAATAGAATCGAAACATCAGGTAGGCAAATATATCGACCGAACTAGAACGATCTAAGAGATCGAAGCGATGTAGCCTTGAACAACACCAATGTAGCCGATATATTCACCAGGGCCAACGGAACATAGGGCTTACCCCTTCGCCGGAGATCGAAGTCAATGCAGCCCGCGTCAGGTGCTAAGTTCCGTCAGTGATAATAAATAAATACATTGGAAAAGAGGGTGGCGATACGCCGGGAGTAGTTATATTGATCGAGGATAGATCACAATGACCCTGTATATACATATTTATACTCATGGGTAGATACTAGTCCATATTGGACACGACGCATGTTTCCTAAATACAAAAGAAAATATACAAGTACTAATCGGATACTAGATAAAACTTTCTAAAGATAAAGGAAATTTACTAAATCCTACGTAATTAATAGATAGAATTAAACTGCCACGGCATAGTCTTCATGATTCTTTCTTGAACTCATACTCTTCTGGATAAGCTTTCCATCAGTTGATTGTGCTCTTTCCTTAACCGAATCCACTAAATAATTTTACCAAAAGTTGACGTTAACACAACTTTTCGTTCATCACTCATTTTTTGGTCCGTAAGTCCGATCCAACGATGACCTCCGTTCCACACACGCGAGTAACACATCGTGTAAGGGTGGATAAAGCACAAATTCAAAAATAAATACAAAATCCAATCGGACAATTCATCAAAAGAGAAAAGGAATATGAAGAATAATAAAAAAACGCACAAATTTTATCTTAAATCTTCGTCATCGCCTGATTCTCCCGCGGGAAGCCGCCGTCGCCGCCGGATCCACTCGTGGGAAGCCGCGGGAGGGCACCGCCACCACCGCCGCTCGCGGTAGGGAAGGGCGCTGCCCCACGCGGTCGCGGTGGGGGAAGGCAATGCCGCTACTCACAGGGAGGAGGGCACTGCGGCAACACGTGGTAGGGAAGGGCGCCGCCACGGCCGCTCACGGTGGAGGAATGTGCCACTGAGAGGAAGGAGAATGAATTAGGGTTTAGGATTCAACAGTGCAATGCTTTATCTAAATCACGAGTGATCCTAACCGTTCGATCGAATCCGGTGGCTCTCAGCGCTCCTACGCCGACTTGGGCCATGGCCACTTGGGCCCTGTTCACTTAACATGCCATGATGTGAAAAAGAGATATTTGAGCCGTCCTTCTAAATATGGGCCTAATTACGTTTTATTTATTCTCAATCGATTTAAACTGTTTCTGCATTAAAAATTGCTAAAATTTGAAATAGTTTTTTCTTCTCCAAATTAAACTATTTATAGCTAAATGGAGTAAAAAAATGTAATTATTTATTTGTCATGATATATAATTTAAATTTAAACTAAAAATTAATAATATTAATTATTTTTTAATTCTGTATGGACTCTAGATTCTTCTTCCAGTATTCCTATTTTTTTAATTCTGAAATTTTATTATTCCTAATTGTATTTCTATATGAACTCTAATCTCATCTATCAATATTTCTTATTTTTAAATTCCGAATTTAATTTCTTTTCTTAAATTGTATTCAACAAAAAAAATAAAAAATAGGAATACTTTGTATTATGTTGTATTACTTACATAGAGAGATTAGTCTATCCAGCTCAGGTAATTTTTTCCTTGCAAAAGATTTGTTCTATGCAGGTATTCGATCGGACACTACACATATATAACATGATTTTTTTAAAAAAAGGAAAAAAAGAGTCCTTGTCTTAAATGAGTTCTCCTTATTTTTTTATTATACTCTAATTAATATGAGAATTTCTAGTTCTTGGAGAGCTAACGTGGAGGCTAATTTTTTCTATTACTTTATTAAGTTAATAGGTTAATAGATAGATAGATCATTACCATAACATTAGTTTTTTTCCGTTCTAACGCACATGCATTTTTTATAGTAAGTAACAATATTTTTAAGGTAATAATAGAATCCGTTCCCACCTTTACTCTAAATAAGATTAAACCAATTATCATAAAATTTAGAGGACAAATAACTGCTAACTATAAAATTACAACTTGATTACAACAACTTGATTACAAATCCATTCTTCCTATATAATTGGAACCCACTAAGTGCAATGATTGCTATAAAGAAGATCTCTCAGCTAGCCACGTCATCAGAATCATCTCAGCCATTAGATCAACGTGTCTTTGACCATTAGATCAACTAACCTCCGATGCTAATAGAAATAAATCAGGCCTGATCAACTCCCCTACACAGAATGTGAGACAATGCAAGACACCTGCTGATTGTCGCACCTGAACCCATTCTGCGTGACGTGATATTGTCTCAAGACTAAATCATGGTTCTCGATGTTTTTAGTCATCAGAACATTTTGCATACATCTTCGCAGCCATCCAGTAGTATCTCAGTACAATAAAACACAAGTCAGTTTGGGAATATAGCTGGGTTGCTTTGCTCATTGAATCGCATATGTTCGATACACATTGAAATGAAAAATGGACGTTTAGGCACAATTTTATGTCAGCGTCATGAATCTGCCCCCTTTTTTCATGCAAGTTTGTTCACATCTTATGTCAACATTATGATCCATTTTATATATTTTTAGAAAATTTTCCACTATGCCCGGCGCAAAGCGCGGGGTATCAACTAGTAACTATTAAGAATACCGCCACCATAAGACATAGCTATGACTGGCGTCGTTATTTCATCCAACGGCTTATAAGTTGCTCCCTCTAACCTCCGTTTCCATAATATAGCGTAGTCGTTACAAGCAGTACAAGTGCTTTCGTTAACATTATGAGCCGATTAGCCCACCAGCAACTAAATAATTGTTTGTACAGAGACTGTAATATGCAATATTCATTGTACAGGTGTACACAGTACACCACCTCATGTTAATATCCATCTGATCCAGTCACTGAAATACATAGTGGTTTTGGTTTTTGGACGCAAAGAATGAAAGAATCACATCATATCAGCACGACAGAAGAGAGTTGCAAGGACGAGAAGCTAATTAGTATCTGATGCACAACATTTTCAGGCACAAGCAGAAAACATAGACCCAAAGCTGGAGGGTCCCAACCGTGGCGAGCTTGGCGAGGCTGACAATCCACCGCGCAGCAACAGTGACCGAGGCCACCTGCGGCCGGAACGCCGCCGCCGAGAAGAATGCCATCTGGCCGAGCACGAGGGCCAGCCCGAGCATGGCGGTGACGAGGTTGGCCAGGTGCAAGCACCTCTCCCCAGCGCCGTCGACGAAGCACGGGCCGTCGTCGTCGCAGCAGCGGCGGAGGTAGGACGACGGCGAGATGAACCCGTTGCCGGCGACGAGCAGCGCCAACTTCGCCACCTGCAGGTCGCCCACCGGCTGCGCTCCCGGCGGCCCAGGCCAGAAGAAGGAGGCCATGGTGGATCGGCCAGGAACGGAGACTACTCTGCTCTACTTCTTTTAATAATGAAAAGTTGTAAAACCCGGCTTCTACACCAACGGAGTGTACGATCTGCTATCTGTTCAAAGCTTCAAATTGTTGGCTGTCGAGTTAAGTTGCTTGTGAAGTGGCAGCGGAGGCGCTCGTTTATATGCATCACATATGTAGGGTTTTGGTTCGCTTGGGAGTTGGGAATCGGCGAGTTTTCCTGCCCGCGTAGACGCGTGGAACGGGTGCCGATCCGTTGCGCGGTGGTTCGTGTCAGGTCGTCGCGTATGTAAATGTTTGGAGAGGCCCTCGTTATGCGCTACAGGTTTCCATCTCTGTGGCTGTGTGTCATCGCACCGGCGAGTGAGTTAAACAAACTTCCGCATTCTATTCTAGTACTACAAATTTACGAATGAGTGTAAAATTTAATATTAGGTTTATTTAATATATAACACTATTTAGTTCATGAAAAATTTTATAATTCTTGAGAAATTAGCTAAAGGTACTAAGATTTTAGACTAAAAATTTTGGTACTTCGAGATAACTAATAACTGAAGATACCAAATTTTACACTAGAAAATATAATATCTCCTATTACCATATGAAGGACACCCTTAGTTCATAAAAAAAATTGGAGGGAGGTTACCCGTGCGTTGCACCATGGGTTGGATTTTGGGAGATTTTCTTTAAGCGGTTCATTTAAAATGAGAGTGAGCGTTTTTTTAAGAAGGAAGAGTATGGTTATGCTTTTAAAGTAGTTAAAAAATACATATAATTATGATGCTCCATATAACATACATACCTAAACATAATAATAGCATTCTAGTTACTAATTAATAGCACTTGTCAACAACTAATCTTACCATTTTAATTACTAATTAATAGCAAAACATGCTAATATCATTAATCATATTCTAATCAACTCACTAATCATGTACTAATCAACATCCTAAAGAAGGTGGATGGCTTCATCCGCCCAAAAAACCGGATCCCTTCATCCAGTATGTTGAGTAAATATTTCCTTTTCTAGACCGCCCCATCCACACTGTTCTTAGGGTGGATCTAGCATGGGGTTAACGGGTCTCGAGCCCCCACTACTGGCTCGAATACTATGGGAACCCCCACTAAATTTTTTAGCTATATGTAGATGGAAAGAAAGGCTATAACTTTATCTAGTTTGTTTAGACTCTCCCGCTATATCTTCCTAATCCGCTACTACCTGCCCTCTAACTAAACACCCCAATAAAATGGATAGCCATCTCCCATCTAGTCCCATTTACCTAACCAAACACACCATTAGACTCATGAAAATTTATTTATAGAATAAAAAGTCAAGAAACACAATGCATGATGAGCTATGATTACATCTCCCTCGGGAATAATAACAAGTCCTTTTTTAACAGGACAGCCAAACTTTTGATATACATGGGGAAATATTAGAACAACTGAGCATGGCTGGGAAATTGTCTTGCAGATTTTGCCATGTTATCTGTCAGTGTGTTAATTTCTCAGGAGATCCATTGTGCGTGTGTTTAGTTGGGGAAAAAGAAATTTTTGGGTGTCACATCGAACGTTTGACCGGATGTCGGAAGGGGTTTTCGGATACGGATGAAAAAACTAATTTCAGAACTCGCCTGGAAACCGTTTGACGAATCTTTTGATACTAATTAAGCCGTCATTAGCACATGTGGGTTACACTTATAGCTAATCATAGACTAATTAGGCTTAAAAGGTTCGTCTCGCGATTTCCCCCATAACTGTGCAATTAGTTTTTCTTTTTATCTATATTTAATACTTCATGCATATATCTAAAGATTTGATGTGATATTTTTGGGAAAAATTTTTGGGGAACTAGACGGGCCCTGAATCTTGTGATCCTCGCCAGTTGCTCCAGCCGCGCCACCGGTGGGTGGGTCGCCCATCTTGGTCAGCGGCCCCGGCCAAGATGAAGTCCAGGTGACCAGGTCCACAGTGTAATCGGACATTCGGGCACTCTGAACCGTACTCTCTGCTTCAACTTGTTGCTCGCGTGTAGCAGCTGGAACCGGTCGTTCTGGTTCACTGGGGTCGTCGGAACGCGGCTAAGTTTCCGTCCCGCGGTGCCCGGGAGAGCCGAGTCGGGAGTCGCGGGAGCAAAAAGTTTCGTTTAGTCGCTAGTACTTGGTTCGTTTTGGAGACGCTCGCTCGTAGCCACTTATTTGGGTTTTTTTCCAGTTTGTGTGTTGGCGCGTCCCACGCACCGGGAGCAATCAATCGCACCATTCTGGATTCTGGACCTGTTCAATCGCCGGTGCTGGGTTGTACTGAAGACCCCGGGTTCTTAAGGGCAGGGTTTCCCATTCGTTTTGACCGGGGTTACTGCACCCCTGCCGTAGGACGATTACCGCGGTAATCGCACGTTAACCACACAAAAATCGTGTAGAACCTCTTTTTTTTTCATGCAGAACCTTTTCTAAGTAAATTTCACATGACTACATTTTCAGTTGTTCAAGTTGTAGAAAATTACATATATTTTAACACTTAACACTTAACTACATATATTTTGATATTAAAGTTTCATAAAACTACACTATTAGAGAATGGATCCACCCGCGAGATGATGTGCGGTTGTTTCACCTAGGATGCGAACTTGAGTGCTTCATCCGAGGTCGAACATTCACGATGCCACGTCCGCATTGTAAATATATGTAGATAAACAATCACGTCGTCTTGCAGGTGGATTCGTTCGTTGATAGTATAGTTTTGTGAAACTTCAATACTAAAATATATGTAGTTAAGTGATAAGTGTTAAAATATGTACATTGTTATACAAGTTGGACAATAAAACATGTAGTTTTGTGAATTTTACTCTTCTTTTTAAGAGAGAGGAAATTTTAAGCACAAAATCAACCGTTCAAAACCATGAAAAGGAATAAGCCTAGCTACTTCTAAAGAGCAATTTTACGGTCCTTGAGAATGTACCATGAGGTACCACTTTTTCAATTGTAAATTTGGTAAATTTTGCACTAAATTTTTGGTACATCTTGGTACCTTCTCAAGAACCGTAGAATTACTCCTTCTAAAAACACTAAAGGAAGGGAAAAGTAGAAGATTAAGAAAATACGTAAAACAATATGAGTCATTAGAGTATAATTAATTGAGTATTAATTATTTCAAAAGTGAAAAATGGATAATACCATATTTAAATCCACTTTCCTATATATTTTTTTAAAAAAATACCTTTTAACCGTTCAATATCTGCGCACGCGAAAAACGATGCACTATTTTTTCTCACGGTGCTTCAAATGAAAGCAGCCTTAGGCTACAATACTATGAAACTGTCATGTAAGGTATTTGGTAGAGTTTTATTTTTATCTAAGTTCAAACATTTTTTTTCATGTAATTTAGTAAGTTTTTATTAGTTATAAGTTTATCTCATGCAGTTTTGTAATTCTTTTTATAGGTTAGAATAGTTTATTGTTTAATCTTTTAGGAGAAATTGCATAAATCATTATAATTGTCACCCTGTTTTGAGATTCCATCGCATAACCCATTGTGTTGGAAAAACCACTCTACCCTCGCCCTCTCCCTGACACATGAGTAACTGATTCGGTCCATTTTTTACTTGAATCCCGGCGGACCATATCAACTAAGCCAAGCTAGGTAGTGTGGTTTGTGGTGAGTCCGACTTAAGCATTTGGGTAATTTTGGCCTCACAATATTTGATGGGTGGGCTTTTGCGACAAAATAGGTTATGGGGTGGTTTATGTAATTTTGTCAATCTTTTAGTAGAAACAGATTTTGTTTGCATAAGTAGGTATTGATAACAACCAGTGGATTATATCTAAGAGGTGAGAATTGTGATTAAAGTTTTTGAAAATTTTCCATGTGCTTAAAATCTAGACACTCCCATAATTTATAACGGAGTTAGCATAGAACTACATATTTAGCCATAATATAACAAAGCGGCAAATTTAGCACTAATTTTATTTGCCAAACAACGTATATTTTAGAAGTTTTACTAGGATAACTATGGCATGATTTAACCTTTAAAATATGTGGATTTACATATTGTTTTTAAATTCATAGTTTTACATTGCTGTGCAAATATTGCTTTTTGTTTGCCATTCCCTTCTAACCTACATGTCATATTCTACCTGTCATATCATGGAGCATATACTTCAATCATCGAATAGAAAAACCGATAATTTGCCCTGAGAAAAAGTGGAAAGCTAACAGCGAAACTTATATTGTCCGAAAGGCGAAAGTGTTCGCTGACAGGAACGCGCCACAAGCGTTCGCTCCCACATTAGCATTCCCGAGACATGGACGCCGTGCGCACGGTTTCCTGGTTCCGAAGAGGGATTCTAATCATCAAAATGGATGTATTACATGTTAACATAGTTATTAAATTCGATTATAGAAATCGATTTCTTCAAGTTATATAAAAATAATAAATTAAATTTTAATTAATATACGCAAATGAACATTGAATGCCATTCTCGCATTGAAGTTCATCAATCTTTTTACAACGTGAATAAAAAAGCCTCAAGAAAAACAAAGGAGAAATGGCCTTCGGTTCCTCGCCTCATTGTTTCAGCCTCACGAGCTTGATAAAGATGCAGAAGTCATGCGCGAACGCGGTCACCGCGATGGTCTCCGTGAACCTGGTCAGGTGTTCGACCATCACCTGGACAAGCGGCGACACGGCGGCGAGCGGCGGCATCACCACCACCGCGACGCCGCCGACGACCATGCCGAGGAAGAGCGCCGCGCAGTTGAGCCACAGCGCCCTCCCCTCCACCCTGACGTCGGGGCAGTACTGCTCGCCGCCGGCGCCGCACTGCAGCGACACCAGCAGCATCAGCCCGGCGACGGCCACCGACACCGCGCACTTGGCGGCGCGCGCCGGCTCGGCGGAGTTGTCGGCGAGGAGGTCCCGCGCCATCGGCGGCAGCGCGAAGGGGACGTACCTGGACAGGAGCGCGATGATTGCGAAGGCGAGGAAGAACGGCACGTCCATTGATTGTTGCTAATTAAATCTAGAACTTAATTAGCAGCTTAGCTCATAGTAATATATATCAGATCGATCGAGTTCTTGATGCAAGATGCAATCGCGTAGGGTAGAAGAGATGGCGAGGCATGAGTGGACTTGGACACGGTCGTCGTCGTCGTCGCCGCGATGGAGCTTTCATCTGTGGCATGCAGCCTCGCAGCAAGCTCGCCGGTTTGGTTGGTGTCATATAATATGGTGTACAGTGTAGACTATGCTTTGAAACTTTTTTTGCTGCTGAAAAAGTTACTGTGATTAATTATCAGTAATTGCTAATTAATTAATGTTGCGTTGCATCTGATTTGTCACACTATATACGACTGAAACAGCAAATTGACTTGAATGCGATTTGCTAAATGGTGAATCGAGCGTTGACCTCGACAGTTGACTCTCAACGTAACGCGGATGAAGTTAAAGAACTCGTCACAGTACATGATGCAATCTGAAGAGGATAAATGATTGGGCCTCAATTAGTGCACGCCATGGACTAAGCCTGCACATCGCACTTTAAATTAAGTATATTATTCCAACTTACTTCCAAACTACTCCCTATATCTCGAAATGAGTCCAACTCTAGGGATGCATTACCATGTTTAAATTCATCCCTAGAGTTCGACTTTTTTTTGATAGAGAGAATATTTAATGTGTGATATGATATTAAGCAAAAATGAATCGAGTACGGCCGCTTGGAGGGGAGGTGGCATGTCGAATTGTGGATGCCACATAGTAGGTTTGGTGGTGCAAAGATCATGTCCATTTGATAGACTGTTCAGTAGATTATTGTCACACCCCAATTCGGCACTGCCATACAACGGCACCTGACAGGAGCGTGTCGTAGAAAAAACGGCGTGAACCGCTTCTTACGAATCCGCGATTACAGTACCAGTCCCAGGACATAGTGCTGGTACCCACGATGAAAAATATGAATCATTGCAATCCTTAAAATAAATAAAGGACTTATTTACCTTAACTTAGGTTGCAGCTCAGAACAGCCCGAGAATGCAACCGACGACGCGGACGAGGAAAACACCAACAACAGCAGCAGCAGCGGAACCAACGGACTAACACCCAACACCACAGGCGACGGCTGGGAACCAGGACGAAACCCTAATCTTCACTTCACTTTATCTTCTCTTCAGGGCGGAGGAACTATATATATTTATATAGAGCAAGGGTGAGTACTTTCGTACTCAGCAAGTCACGGGAATTTAGGTGTTTGATGCAAGCTTGGAAGAGAGGCAAGGTTGTTTTGGTAAATCTTTTGTTTGAAATCATTTTGAAATCACTAAGTGATTTATTTCTTTTTAAGTTCGGGTCGAAAAGAGACTTGCGTATCAAATTTCAACAACTCAATTGATAATGTACCAACCTCCCGGGTCAGATCATTACTTCTCGGCTCCCAGAGCCATTTCACTTGATTAAATCGGCTCCCAGAGCCTTTTTCATTTTCTTGGACTCCCAGAGTCCAGCTGCCCAGCAGCACAACAATCCGCTTCCACTCGGGAAGCCTAGTCTATGATGCCCGCAGACATCCCGAATCACATAGATTCGTTTCTGACCACTCAGGTCATCCATCTGCCACATAGGCTGATTCTGGTTACGATTCCCACACCACAACAACTTTTCACCAAGCACAAGCAAACAAATCTACGCAACGGGAACCACCTTACATCCGCCCATTACCGTGGGCACGGCTGTTCGAACAGTAAGTTAACCTCTGCAGAGGGGTACACTTTACCCATAAGATACGAACTTATTCCAAACACCCATCGGTATCGGAGGTTCGCAACAAAGCCTTTCCCAAGCCGACCCAGGGTTACCTCATGCCACATAGAAGAATCAAATCCTCACATAAATATAGGCCATTTTAGTTTTCACAAATCAAACTCCAACCACCTTGATCGGTAATCTGGCAAGCTTCGCGTTCTTGCCTTACCAGGAACCCGGGTTGGCTCCAACTGACCCCGCCCCGGCGTTCCCAACTATTGGCATGCGAGGTTTCCCTGAACCGACTAGTTACTTAGCTAGGGTGTCCCATACCACCTTGTGGTTGCACTTTGTTATGCTTGATGAGTTTCACACAGGAATCGGTCCTTATATGCGAATACGGGACAGCGCCACGCAGGCACCACCCCCGCATCGCGAGTTTTCACAATTCATTTTATTTTTAAACACACCGACACCATATGTCGGGTTTTCAAGGCTTCTCAAACCCATTTCCCAATTTTTCGACAATCAACGGTGTATATGAGGTATTAGGTATACGCGCTCAGAGAGCACGGATACCGAGGTACCACAAGAGTGGAGCGACAAAGAATTAGGGTAGTACAGCCTACAGGAATTTGTGCGACTACTGGGTAGGTCCATCGGATTGGCACGCAAACCGAGGCCAAGCAAGTTAAGTGTGTGATTCTACTAATGCAAGTTGAAAACAAAACAATAATGAGTTTCCAATTATAGGAGCAAATGATCAAACGGTGACTTGCCTTGCTCAAGGTCTTCACGAAGCTTCACGAATCTTCGAGAAATCCCACGATCGACAAAAATCCGGTAACCGCAACTATACGCAAACAATCAAAACCTAAACAAAAGACCAAGAAAAGGATCCTATTTAGACTAAATAATAGTGCCATTAAATAGATCTCGATTTTACGGGAATACTGGAAGTGGAACGGGGTTAATCAGAATTACGGATCGGGAGATATGAATTTTGGGAGTTTAATTGGAATTTCTGGACAAGGAAATGATTTGTCGAAATTTTTTTGGAATGCGGGCAATGATTTATGAATTTTATGGAAAAGAGTATTCTCAAGAATATTCTTTTATCACTCATTGACATGTGGGACCAACATATGGTGAGAGAGAGGTGAATTGGGAGGGAGCAGATATAGACTTTTGGTCACTGTGTTTGGGAAAGGAGCAAAGATGGACTTTAGCTTTTGGGTGGGGGTACTGGGCTCGGCATGAGGGAGTATAAGTGGACTTTGGTCGATTGGACCGGGGGAGCAGCGCAGCCCAACGGCTGGCGAGGCCGAGAGGGGGGGGGGCTGGCTGACGGGGCGTCAGCTTGACCCGGTCAAGCCCACGTGGACAGCCACGTTGGATGGAGGAAAGGGAGGGGAGGCCGGGCGGCCGATCTGACGGCTGGCGGCGAGCGGTGCATACCGGCGAGCGGCGGCGAACCGGGAGGGGCGGCGTGCACCGGAAGCAAGCGGGGATCAAGGGGAGCTAATTCAACGGTGCGGATGAGGGAGAGGCGGCGCGGCGGCGGCTGGCGACGGCGGCCGTGCGGCGGCGGGATGGGTGGCACGGCGCGGGCGCGGCCGCGGCGGCGCACCGGGGAGGCTCGAGAGGGCTCGGGGGTGGTGGCGGCGCCGGGAATCGGCGAGAGACCGGCCGGCGGCGGCGCGCGACGGCGCACGGCGGCGGCGGAAGCAGAGCTACGGCGGGGCGGCACAACACTGAGTGGGGCGTCGCCGGGAAAACAGAGAGGGGGCGCGAGAAGTTACGGGAGGACGACGACGAGCTGGTTAGACGAGAGAGAAGGGCCGACGACGGCGCGCGACTGCTCGGTGGCGGACGCAGCACCGCGTGTGGTACGAGGAGGAAGAAGGCGGCGATGCGGAAACAGAGCGCACGGCGAGCTACGCGAGTGCGGGGACAGCGAAAAAGGAAGCCGAGGAGCTCACCGACGGGAGGAACGGTGTCGGCGGCGAGTTGGGGATAGGAAGGGATGGAAGGCGGAGGGTAGCACGCGACCGAGCGGCGGCGCACGGCGGATGACGCCGAGGCGGCGCGGCGTCGAGGCGTGTGCGCCGGGGAAGGAGAGATGGAGTGCGGCGATGGGGCGGCGCAGAGCTCCTCGTCGACTCCTCGTGCGCACGTCGGCACGCGCGACGGCGGAGGAAGGGCGACAATGGCGCGGCGGCAGAGGGAAGTAAAACGGGAAGAAAAGAGGGGGAGCTCGGGCTTGGGTTTTATAGGTGAGGAGGAGAGGTCGGTTTAGAGGAGGGAAACCGACCTTGGCGGTTGAGCGCTCGGCTGGCGCTCGGCGGGCGGTCACGAGCGGGAGCGGCGTTTTCGTGGGCTGCGCGAAACGTGGCGACGGCGAGGATGCAAAGGGGCGGTGGAGGCGGTGGATCGTGCGGCGGGAATTGAATCACGGGCGCGGGAGCATCGGCGTGGCGCGGTCAAGGTGGGGGCACAGGCGTGGCAGGACGTTGTCGGCGTCCTCTGCTTCCGCGCGCAAGAAGACAAGGGCGAGAGGAGAGAGGCCGGGTTTAGAAGGGAAAAAGTGAGGGAGGACGGTGGAAAGGGAAGCCTCTCCCTTCCGTTTTGGGCCGCGGGCAGGCGAGGCGCGTGGGAGCGGCGTCCTTGCCAGTCGGCCATGCGCGCGAGAAACGGCAGCGCGGTTGGGATTTTGGGCGGCGTCGGCGGGAGTCAATGAGAGAGAGAGAGAGAGATAGAGGGTGAGAGAGAGCGAGGAAGAAGGAGAGAGCGAGCGCACACGCGCAACGCACGTGCGAGGGGGAGGAGGAGGAGCGGCTGAGAGGAGATGGGCCGAGGAGAAAACGGCCCACAAAAATTCGAGGGAGGCAAAATAGACTTTTTCGGAGGAGATTAATTCGAAGAGAATTTGAACTTGGAATTTGACTTAGATTTCGGAATTGGGATCTGGATGAGAGGAAGGAGTCGACGGAGGATTCAAGATGGGGTTTTGGATATTTTGGATCTGGGGAAGTATTCGGCGATGATTCAAAGAGAGGGATAGAATTTCAGAGTTTGATTTGGAGACATGAGTCGGAAGAGGAATTTCGAGGAGGCAATTTTTGATGGTGACGAGAGGGATCAAGGACGGATTTGAATTGAGATCTTGGCACAACTTAGATTCGCACACAAAGAACGGAAATTTTCGCATATAAAATTTTGCCGAATTAGTTTTTAACGTCTCACGAAAAGCGGAGCGTTACAATTATCCGGATTATCTACTTATTTACAAAAATAAATCAAACATATTTAAAAATAGCATTAAAATGTTATATATAAGTAGAAGAAAGTTTTTTTAAGAAAATATTTTTCAAAGCGCAAAAACAAATAATCCAACGAATATTTTTTTTAAAAAACGAGGCACGAGTTTTTCTTATATTGGGGCAATTTTTGGGTTCCTTTTGAGTTCTTCAAGACTAAATGGAACCTCCATGATACACCAGTGATTTTCATGATACATCGATCCCCATATGATAACAATAAAAACATACTCAAAAGCTTGTGGGTTTGTTTGCCACAATCTGACCATTTCTGAACAGTGCAGAGTCCATTGCCACAGTTATAGACTTACATTTTTTTTGCACTAAATGTGCTCTATTTGTCACTCTTATCTTCTAGCCAAAATATATTTTCTTAAGTGAACCGTATGAAAGGATCCTACAATATTACTACAGTATATAAGTAGTTATGTAGTATTTACATGTAAAAAGTGTAAAATCTCCCACAAATACATAATCAATTTTACTATCATAGCATCCGAAGTGCTAGGGTATTCTAATCCTAGTTTTTAATCCTAAATGGTTTGAAGAAGAGTAAATGGCACCCACGGTACAACAACTTAGCGGGTGGGTGCGATATAGTGAAAAACTTGAGAATTGAACGTTCGAGTGCAGCAACTTGACAAGTGGGTGCGCATTCTAGTATAAGAACTTGGCAATTTACTATTTTGTTGAATCAACTTAGCTAAGCATATGCTAGATGAGTTTTTTTCATTATGTCAATATGCCATTACATAGCAACTCTACAGATATTATCTTATAATATTGAATTTAATCTTTAAGAATTATACTGCCCATCCAATTTACATCCAATTACCTTTAAGAATTTTTGTTTTCTTCACCTTCCCAAAATCTCAACCAAAATATAATAATTTCTACATCCAGTTTAATTGACTTTCGGTGGTAAAAATATAAATATACTTATATGCAAATCCACGCTAGTATATTGTCAAAATAAGTACTTAAAATTGAATATGTATAAAAAAAGTGCTCCAAATAATTAAGTTGTCACATAACTTCTTAACTTATTGTATTAAAATCGTATATATCTTGTAAGTTATTGCATTTATGCGATCACTTATAAAGTTCTTGTACTAAATTGCACTTACCTATCAAGTTGTTACACCAGAACGCTCATTTCTTAAGTTCTTGTATCAAATTACACCCACTTGCCAAGTTGATGCACCGTGTGTGCAATTTACTCTTTGAAGAATTTGGGATTTGGCTTGAGTGCAGTGAGTCCAAAATAAAGCATATTGCTTTTGTTGTTTCTTGTTTAGGATCCTAACAAGAAGGCACCGGGGTATGATGCATTTGTTACTACTGGATGGTCTAGTTGGAACAAAAAGTTTGGATCAAATAATCATGTGGGGGATGTCAATAGTGCTCATAACCAATCAAACGAGAGATTGTGATGCCTTGTTGTCACAAGACCAGCACATTTATGTTGCACTGAAAAGACAATGTGATACTGACAAGATTCAATGTTGCTCGATTGTTATTGAAGCAAGGGTTGCCTTTTCAGGTCACGACGAATCTGTATCATCCATGAATAAAGGGAATTTCAAGGAATTTCACGACTATACAGCTCAACGCAATCTAGCACTAGTATGGTGACAACTGACAACACATAATGCTCCTGGTAATAATCTGATGGTGTCTTTAGAGACTCAAAACAATATAGTTCACTGTTTTGCAGCTGAAATGTTCTATTCTTGATAAAATTGGGCATGATGTATTTTGCTTGCTAGTTGATGAGTTGAGGGATGTATCTTGCAAAGAAAAAATGGCAATGGTTATGCGATATGTAGACAAACAAGAATTTGTTAAAGAGAGATTTGTCGGCCTTGTTCATGTTAAAGAGACCGATGGAGCCAAATCTCTTAGCTCACTGTTTTGGTGTTTCTCTTAAACATCTCAACGCACAAAGAAACACGGTGTACAAGAACAAGAACATTTTTCTTCGCTATCTTTTCTTATCTTCGTAAGCCTTGAGTGAACCAATGACCTCCTCCGTGGCGCTTGTGTTCATGCTCCCAAAGAATGTTAGACAATATGGTTTAGATATGCATGGTTGAGTTTTATCTCTCTAAACCTAGATCCTTATCCTCCCGATTCTGTTGCTATAACTCGGTAGAGTGGTTATGGACAGGCATATATATGTACGCACTCCGTGATTAATCCAATCTACGTTGAGTTCCTTCGTTTCATATGGTATCAGATACGGTATCGCTTCCGCTCCACACCTAAACCCTATCACTGCTTCCCTATGGCGCCCGAAAACACATCGACGGTGCCCATTCCCGATGCAACCTCCGCTGCGATCGACGAGGCTGTCAAAGCCGTCGCCGACGCCGTGCGTAACTCCTTCACCCCCTCCTCCGGCTCTGACGTCGACCCCACCAC